CATTCACCTTTCTGATTGGTCTTCTCTTTGAGTTGATCTGAGTTTTAAGAACCGGGATCACAACACTCAGGACATTCACATAAGCAATCCGTCCCTATCTTCAGTAGCAAGCGAAGAGTTCCAGCAGCATTCTGATTGTTTGTCCATCTTGCCTTTCCACTGAGCATGGAGCATCAGCCACATCCTGCAGTTACTACCCGTGGCACCATTCTCTCCAGACTGTGATAACATAGGCTAATTGTTGCTTCAGACTTTGCACTCGCCCGAAACAGGCCTTGACAACATCTAGCTAGTCATGCATGTTTACCACCGACTGGTGCACATCCAGTCAATCTGGCTGTTCGTTTCCTAACACGCCTGCAGTCCGGGAGAAAATATCCAAAGGACAGTAACTACCCAAAACCGCGTAAACAATACTTGCAACTCTATACGGAGCACAGTTGTCTCCACCTTTCTCATCGGTCTTTGCGAGTGCTTTACAATCACAACACAAATGTACTGCTGATTCCAAGCCAACGGAAGACCACAGTTACTCCCTGATTTTCTCTTTCCGGTTGGTGACTCCAAGTGTGTGGAGGTATGTAGGTATATTATCTGTCCACTTTTTTTCTTGGTCTGCCTCGTGGTATACTACCATTCAACTCTTTCGTGCACTCAGCTTTCGACTCTGTAATCTGCCTTTTCTCTTTCTATGCCCCATCCTTTTTGCATTTTACTGCTGCTTCTCGTTCTCCATTCTCCTTTGATTTCATCTGTGATGAGTCCAATATTTCACCTAATACTGTTCTAAGAACAAGTCCCTCTTTGTTGTGCTCTAGATTTCAGAGTCATATAGCAGAATTGTTCTAATCGGCGTTTTATATATATATATATATATATATATATATATATATATATATATATATATATATATATATATATATATATATGTGTGTGTGTGTGTGTGTGTGTGTGTTTTGTGTATGTATGTTGTCGGGCAGGGCTATTCAACTAAGTTTATCCAGGGGCAACAACTGTGACAATGAGAAACGCCACGGGCCTAGGTCAGAACTACAGCATCGGAAGATTGAAAATACAATAGAACTGGCAATAATCCTCGAGCCACTTTTCGAGCTTCCGCGGGCCAGAATTTGTCCGCGGACAACCAGTTGAATAGCCATGTATGCAATATTTCTATATTATGGTCTAGACTGTATTTCTTCTCTTAGTATGCTAGAGCAGTTAAAGTGTGTGCCCAAGTACTTGTGTTTCCTTCCGTTTGATATTTCTTTTTGTATTTGGTCGGAGATTTAATCCTTTTCCTGTCGATACCAGGTACTATTCCTTATCTTACGATTAGTGAGGACTGTCATCACAGCACTCCTGACAGATCCATAGCTGCTTCGACCTCCTGCTCAGTAGCTCCACGAGAGTCAAACGACTGATTACACCCGTCCTGTGTTGATTAATCAGACTCGTTGTGCCCTTGGTGACATGTTTTATGTCTAGCTAGTGTAGACTGCAACCCCGTGTCCACCATATTGGATAAGGATACTGAGTCCTGCTTGCTGTTGTGATCTTCTATGCTATATGCAGCTCCCATGACATTAAATACATCCCCCTTCTCAGTGCCGGGTCGGCCTTGGTAGCCGCCTTGTTATCTGTATAGTCTGCACTCTCATTGCCTTGAACACGCGCACAGCCCGATACAAAGGTGAAGCTTACACAAGTTATTCGTGATGCCTTTAGTGAGCAAACTCATTGTTGTCTTATGAAGCTGGCCTGGATTTCCTTAATCATATTCCTCGAATCGCTCAGTATGTACACATGTGGGAATTCTTAAGTACCCAGTGATGTTAATGCCCTGCATGTGTTGCAGCCCTCAACTCCATTGTGAGGCTGCAGGTTGTAACAACAAAGGCGCCTCTTGTCTCGTTAAGTGTTTTTCCCTGCGCACTCTCAGTGAACGTCAATTTACTTTGCTTGTACTGTGTGACCTTTCATCCTTGTAAACAACAGCATAAATGATATCCTACTGATAACTGAACACTTTTTCAGCTTTTTTTTTTTTTTAAGGCTAGTCAGTGTTTTAACTGGCACTTACATCCACCGATGAACTTAAAATTGTGACAACAGAGATGAAATGCCTTAGAAGAGCTGCAGGAGTTTCAAGGAAAGACAAAATAGGAAATCACGAAATCAGACCTAGCTAGGAAAAAAGACAGTCTTACAGGTCATCAAAGACCAACAAAGGAAGTAGTTTGGACACCTAACAAGTATGCCCTGGTACTATCTGCCACAGCGAGCCACACTAAAACGCTACAACGGGTATAGAGCGAGTGGAAGACCTCGGAAAATATGGAGTGATGGCATTTTGAACAGACTTACAGAAATGAACATCAGTCTTAATAGTGCTCTTGACAGAGCTCATCAACGAATGTTTCATCTCCACCGGACGCTTCAATTAAGTAAGAGGTGGAAGAGAAGAAGAAAAAGAAGAAGAAGTGTTTTAACTGATTTTCTTCAAATGTATCTATGTCATATGCATAACCAAGCATTCGTGTGGTTTCTTCTATAGTACAATCTTCTTTCACCTTCCATATCATTGTCTCTAGTAAACGAGACTAAGAATGTCGGAGGACATCATCAATAAAGCCACAAGACATTGACTAAAAGAAGCACATTTCAGTTAACATTTGTACGTCGAAACAATTGTATGACTAAAATGGAGAAAACGACACAGAAAGCAACGTTGTCATTAGAGACGGCGGGAGAGAAGAATTTGCCAGCCTTATCAGCATAATCAATCTAGTGCCCGAGCAAAATCGATATCAGAAAACACGAGCTAGACAGCATCGAGTGTCTACTGTCCTCGCCGCCAACACAAACCGCCGCCCTCTATCGGATTCATGTTTACAAATATAATATATTCGTATTTAAAGTAAAGTATATTATTATATTTTGCAGCTAAGGATTAAGAATTTAATATTGAACTACTAATATAATAAAAAATGCAAATATTATCTAGTACAGTAAGATTATATTTGAAGCTAGACAGAACATATTTTATCTTGAATAACAATTCTTAACGACACATTCAAAATAGCAGTCTGGTGAATGTTATTATAATAATATCATAAATCCAGTTCTCTGCATTGAGAATGTTTTTTACCTGTGCGAAATGAGACTGCCAGGTTTATATATCAGCTTGTATAATTTATTGATTTAACAAACAAAACAAACCAAAACAACTTTAGAAGGCTGCCTACATACAGCTGTTGTATATGTGAGATTTGGTGAGGTGCTATAACTGCTGTTATTGATTATATTATTATATTATTATATTTATAGATTGAGCATCAGCATTTTAAAACGATATACAGTCTCTGGAATTGTATGTGTTTGTAAATATCTGAAGCTTCCTTCCTAGTGTCTGCTTGCTGTCAGTTGTTTAACTCCTTAACTCTTGTTTGTTCAACTCTTGAACTCAAAACACATTTATCATGTATTACAAGATATTACCCACATGCACAAGTCAAAATGTTATTATGTTTGTATGTCTTGACATACTAAAGAAGCCAAACTGTCTGCTGTAAGGATTGTCTATTTTGGCCCCTGTAGAAGATTCTATTGCTGTCGTCATTGTTTCACTTAGGAATTAGCCTCACTTTTTCCTTATGGGGTCTGAAAAATGCCTGCAATATTTCACATTTTTATATCCCTGTGTGGGTTCCGGGGCCCTATTCTAGGGAAAACAAGAATAGACCCACTGCCTACCCAAAATCATGTCATAAAAGTTAACGAATTGGAGCTTCCTTCAAAGTCTGAGTGCATCTGCCTGGGAGGCAAGGAACCAATAGTCTGCTTACAAATTAGTCAGATCTTTCAAACAGATGTACACGCAACACTCAGGTTCTGGAACAGCTTTGCAGTTTAAAAGTGGATGAACAACCAGAACTTTCCACGAGAGTTTACAGCTGGTGAATGCGAAGAAAAAGAAGATAACATTTATATTTTTGAAATCTTTATAAATTTTTTTTTTTTAATTTGTCTTTCATTTACAGATTTTTTAATTGCTTACACAAAGCTCACATCTCCAAAGCCTTATTTTGACCTACTTGCTTAGTAATTGTCTATTTGTCTATGCCATATTGTACTGTTAAATATTTATTACTTTTTCTCAGTTGAAACAAAAATGAATTAATTAATCCCTCTAGATCCAGGTGGGTGTGTCCCACGAGCCAAAACTGGCCGTGCAAGTATTTTCTACTGGTTCCTCGAGGCTGGTGTGAAATTATGAGATATTCTTACCCTTGGGCTCACACACACACACACAAAAAGAAGAGCACACAAGCATATGTTCATACACAAAAAGGAAAACAATTCCGCAATCAACATCAAAAATAGTGATAAACTAAACAGTGATAATCATAAACTGATGTCACCAAATCATTGATCCTGTTAGTGAAACACGTGTTGCAGACAAACTCAGAAATTGAAAGGCAGTGTCTGTTGGCAGACTTTGATAATAACTTATAAGATGACAATCATCTTTTTCACTGAAGGAAAAATTTAGGAATATATAAAAAAGCTTCAGTGGGTGTTTGTCTGTCCAGAGGTGTAGCGAGGGATTATAACCTTAGATCATTCCACTAAAATGTTGTGTTACTAGGAAATCTGGGTGCTTTTTTTTTCCTATGTGGTCAGCAACCAGGTTTATAATTCTAAATCTGGTCCATATACGAAACAACAAAACATTTTACTCACTCCTGCTCTACATGCTAAAATATGTATTACTGTATAAGAAAATATTTTTGGATTTTCTTTTTATCTTTCATGTTTTTTTTTCACTTTTGTCGTCAACTGTTATTGCATGTCCAACACAGAAGATACTGTTACATAATATAATGACATATTTCATTTACTGCCTCATATGCAGTTTATGTAATGTTATATTGTTTCATTTCTTCAGAAAGAATGAAGTTTCTACTGATTGCTGAGTCTGACAGTTGAGAGGTCAAATGGCTGTACAAGTAACATTCCTTGTGGTAACTATGCTGATACTCCAAGTCCATGGTGAGGTGTACAAGCCAAAGACTCTCACCATCGGAGGCATCTTCCCCATGTCTGGCAGCTGGGCCGGAGGTGTGGGGTGTTTACCAGCTGTTAAAATGGCTTTAGAGGATGTCAACAACAGAACTGACATCTTGCCAGACTACAAGCTGGAGATGCAGTTTGACGATAGTCAGGTTTGTGTCAACTTTTTCTTCTTTTGTCACTACACTATCACTGGGTTTGAGCTCTGTGTCGTGGTTTTCTGTATTTGTCTTGTGCTTGTTGGTTGACCTGAATGATGATAGCATTTGTAGGTTTCAGCTGAGCCATCTCTCCCTAGCTCTTCCTCTTGTCTCCCCCCCCCCCCCCCCCTCCCCTAGATGTTTTGCTGTAGAAGGTTTCATATTCAGTTTGGTCTGGTGCATTCTTACTAGATGGCCAAACCACTTCATCTTCTGTCTTTCAGTATGATTCAGAACGACCTGGTTCCAACCTTCTCCTTTATGCTGATTGATATTAGTGGCCTTGTCCCTTTTTGCCCTGCACAGTTTGGCTCAACACATCTGATTAGGGAATACCCTAAATACCCTGCACCTTTAAGAGATTTACTTGTTAAGAGACTTTGGTTTCATTCTTGTTTCTCTAAAAAAAATGGGGCTGCAGAACCCAGACAGGGGTTATTTGTTCTATATTATATATTTAAAGATTTTACCTAAATACTTGTGGAAAAATCTCACATTGAACACTTTTAGGAATACCACTATGGTGCCATAGCTTGTTGTAAAAAAAAAAATCCCATTTGCACTTCGGCATGGCAGAGAATAGGGAACACACCAGCAAGGAAAATGCAGCTTTGATCTGTCAAATATCCACCAGAATAAGGAAACAAATCTGTGGTGTCTTTTGCTTCTATCAAGTCTACCACTGAATTGAGTACTCACTTATTCTAGGGATTTAAATGGTCCCTATAGACCGAAGATAACATCTGCAACCTTATTAAAATCGCATACAAGTCTAATGTAATTACTGTAGTTATCTCGTATTGGACTAACTTAAGTACCATTGTTTTCTCATATCTGTCTTATGTATTTACAATTGTTATCTCACACAGCACTATTGTAATTACCATTGATATCTCATATAAGAAAATGTAATTATCACTGACATGTCATTTAAGGCTAATGTATTTATTATTGTTACCTGATGTAAGACCTAATTACCAGTCTCATCAAATAACATCAGTGTAATTACCAATGATATCTCATATAATAAAATGTAATAACCAATGATATCTGGTATAATTAAATGTAATTAAGAATGATATCTCATATAATAAAATGTAATAACCAATGATATCTTATATTATAAAATATAACTACCAGTGATATCTTATAGAAAAAAATGTAATTATTAAATATATGTCATATAATTAAATGTAATTACCAGTGATATCTCATATAATAAAATGTAATTACCAATGATATCTCATATAATTAAATGTAATTACCAATGATATCTCATATAATAAAATGTAATTACCATTGATATCTCATAAAATAAAAATGAAAGTACCAATGATATCTCATATAATAAAATTTAATTATCAATGATATCTTATATAAAAAAATGTAATTGCCATTGATATCTCATTTAATAAACTGTAATTACCAATTATATCTCATATAAAAAATGTAATTACTAATGATATCTCATATATAAAAATGTAATTGCCATTGATATCTCATATAATAAAATGTAATTACCAATGATATCTCTGTAGGACTTCTGTAATTAACATTGTTATCTCATAAAAATGTAATGTAATTGTCACTGATATCTCAAATAAAACTACTGTAATTATAATTGATATCTCATATAGGACTAATGTAATTACCATTGATTTCTCATCCAACATCAATGAAATTATCATTGCTATTTCATTAAGCATTCATAACGCTCTCATTGTTATTTCATTAAGCATTCATAAAGCTCTCGTTGCTATTTAATCAAGCATTCATAACGCTCTCATTGCTATTTCATTAAGCATTCATAACGCTCTCATTGCTATTTAATTAAGCATTCATAACGCTTTCATTGCTATTTCATTAAGCATTCATAACGCTCTCATTGCTATTTCATTATGCATTCATAACGCTCTCATTGCTACTTCATTAAGCATTTATAACGCTCTCATTGCTATTTTTTTAGCATTACTGCAGTTATCATTGCTATCTAATTATCAATAATGCAGTTATCATTGCTATCTAATTATCAATAATGCAGTTATCATTGCTATATAATTAGCATTAATGCAGTTATCCTTGCTATCTCTTTTAAGAGCAATTTTAAGACACAATCAGACAGGTTTGCATCCTTGAAAACATTAGGCGAGGAGAGGAGTGGGCCAAAGTGCCACCTGAACAGACAGACCTGTGTAGAGTCATAATCACGCTGAGCCGGGAATGTAGAGACTGGCCAGCAGGAGCCACAGAGGTGGAAATTCAGCAATTAATTCAAGATAATGCTCGCTCAGAGGATTTGATCATTTACACAAACGGTTCAGTTAGTTAGTTAGTTAGTTATTCCTCTTGTGCCAAAGATGGCGCATAGGGCAGAGGTCATAGCTTTCCACGTCTGTCGGTTCGTTGCCACTTGATGTAGGTCTTGAGTGCGACTGAGACCTATGGTTGAGCTCTCCCTTGTGATGGTTCTACGGAGAGTTTCTTTTGGTCTTCCCTGTTTTCTTTTACCCTCTGGTGACCATATGAAGGCTTGGTGGGGAAGTCTCTGTATGTCCATTCTGAGTACGTGACCAATGTAATTCCAGCGACGCATTCTAATAAAATCAGACACATATTTTTGTTTTGTTTCCTGTCTTATAGATGTATTGGACCTAAAGTCCGACCAGTGAACATTCAATAGCTTTCGGAAGCATCTATTCTCGAAAGCGACTAGTTTCTTATCGATTGATACTGATGATTTCCAACTCTCACAACCATAAGTTAGCACTGGGATCACACAGGAATTGAAGACCTTAAGTTTCGTGTTGTTGCTGAGTGATCTTGACTTCCAAATGTTTGACAGTTTGTTAAAGGCACTTGATGCTAACGCGATTCGAGTCGTTATTTCTGATGTTGTATCTCCCGCAGAGGTTATCTTGCTCCCTAAGTATGTGAAGCTGGTGATTTTTTCAAGAACAATATCCTTTAGTTTGATGTCTTTCGACTCGTTGGTAAGATCGATGATTTTCGTTTTGGCTGCGTTGACCTGAAGGCCGATTTGGCTTGAAATATTCTGGAGGCGGTCCATTTTTTCCTGAGCTTCTAGATGTGTTGTGCTCAGGAGTGCTAGGTCGTCAGCAAAGTCAAGATCTTCGAGAACTTTGTCGACCCATTTGATGCCTAGATGTGTGTCCTGTGTGCATTTGCGCATGACCCAATCGAGTGCTATTCCGAAAAGCATCGGTGACAAGACACATCCTTGTTTCACGCCTGTTTCTACTGGGAACCAATCAGAGTTACCAGATTCCGTTCTAACAAGGCAGCGGGAATCGGTGTAGAAGGCCTTTATAATATTGACATATTTATCTTGGAAACCATAGATTGTGAGTAGCTTCCAGAGTGTAGGGCGGTGTATGCTGTCAAAGGCCTTCTGAAAATCAACAAAGTTGATGATGAGTTGGGATTGAAACTCTACTGACTCTTCTACGATGGTCCTGAGTGTGAATATATGGTCGATGCATGACCGATTCGGTCTGAATCCTGCTTGTTCTTCTCGGAGTCTTGCATCTATTGGCTTTTTCAGTCTCTGCATTAGCATGCTGCAGAACAGTTTTCCTGGTACGGAGAGTAGGGTGATACCGTGCCAGTTGTTGCAGTCTGCTAAATCACCTTTTTTGGGCAGTTTGAATATAACACCTTCTTTCCACTGTTGCGGTGGGGATTCATTTAGCCAAACATCATTGAACAGCTGTAGCAAATATTGTAAGGTGTTTTCGTCTGCTGCCTTTAACATTTCAGCTGAGATTTCATCTGCGCCAGTAGCCTTGTTCTTCTTTAGTTTTTTTATTGCTGATTTAAGTTCTAACATTGTGAATGGTTCACAGTTAGCATCTAGAGGTGGCATAGCTTCTTCTTCGTCTATATTGGGAACAGTGTCGGGTTGTGGCCTATTTAATATTTCTCTGAAATGTTCTGCCCATCGTTGCTTTTGTTGTTCTTCAGATAATAATAATTTACCCTGTTTGTCTTTGATGGGTGCGTTTGCTGTAGGTGTATGGTTGCACAGCTGTTTCATGATGTGGAATACAGCTTTATTGTTCCCAGTTCTGGCAGCCGTTTCAGCATCGCAAGCTAGGTTCAGTGTCAAGAGGCAAAAGAAGTGCTTGGGATTTCTTAGCAAAAGTTAGTGTTCGACGTTTGGTGCAGGAGAGCCTAGCATATGATATCACAACATCCAGCTTAAGAATGGAGGTGGAGGCAGTCACTGCAGTTTTCCGCTGGCTAGAGAACACGACACACAAACACATACATGGTGACTGTAACTGATTCAGAAAGCATGCTGAGGAAGATCAGAACAGGTATGCTTTGTGCAGAGTGGCATGCTTCGCTGCGGAGGACTTGAGTGAGGAGTATTGTCTGGATTTTTTTTCCTAGTGTCACGCCGGTGTGTTGGAAAATGAATAGACGGACAGACTGGCTGGCTCTGCACAACTTGATGGAATACTGATACATGATAGGGCAGATGTGGTTAGTGCCTTGTGGGAGAGCGTGTACAATTCGGAGGAGCAGATGGATCACCAGTCTGGTGAGATTGATGTAGCGGGGAGAGATGAGAGGTTCTGGCAGATGCTCGAGGCTTAGAGAAAAGGCAAGACGGACGTTAAACAGAATGCTACTGGCACCATTAGTATCGGAACTCTTTGCTGGCTGCTGAAGATGGGGATGGAGCGCTTATGAGAATGCTCCAAGTGCTGTGATGTCGATTCTTGAATCCAGTCAAATCAATCATTTAAGAGCAATGAAATTTTAAAATTAGAAATCTGTAACTTATCTTACTTGAAGACATTTACGTTTATGTTATAAGGTTACTGTCATCATCATCAGGTGCCTTGTCGACTGGCGTGGGCAATCATGCCTCACCATAATCCTGCAGCATGTATCAGTTCGTGTGCTGACAAACCTCCTTGATATGTAAAAAGTAAAAGAACCTTTTCACACCTACAGGCATATTGGGCATATAGGGCTAGATCTATATATATTTTATAGACCAGTCAGCACTCGGTGGGCTTTATGGTCAACATCACGCTGGCCACCTTTACTTCCTAGGACTATACCTGGTACCCATTCAAAGCTGGGTCGACCTGGAAGTCAAGGTCATTTTTGAAAAATCGAAAAGTCAGGGAAGGTTACTGTGTTTTCTGTAATTTTTGTTTGCAGTGTAAGCCTGGGCTGGGAACAAAGGTCCTTTACCAGCTCTTGTATGATAAACCAACAAAGCTGCTGGTTCTGACCGGCTGCAGTATTGTCTCAACTTTTGTAGCACAGGCAGCTAAAATGTGGAAACTTGTCGTGGTAAGTTTTATAACCAAATACCTGGTTTCTGTAACTGAGGTAAAAGCTGGTCTAGAGATTTCACAGAATGCTAGGTTTAAGATATAGTACCCGATAGATGTGGGACAATGGTATAAACAAAACTATTTTGTGACAATGGCTAGCTTTGTTACAATAGGAAGTTGCTGCTATGATTGTAAAGGCTGTATTTTAAATTCATAACTAACTACCTTTCCCTGGATCTACACACCCAGACAAACAGTGATGAGTGCATGCAACAGAAGAAGAATATTGTACTAATACAAGGAGGAAAGAAAACAGACAGGGCTGATATAGTCAATATTGTAAAATTAGATGCCGGTTATTATTGAATCTCTAATGTATGACGATGACCTTTGAATGAAGTCTTGCCAGGTTAAGGTAAGAGACATTAAAACCAACATCTCCTGGAAACAGTCAGTAGAGGTACCTTGGTGTGGACTGAGCCAGCGTGGGAATGCTGACTGTGTGGTGATGTCAACCACACACAAAATGCTTGGATTCAAACCAGGTAACTTTGAGCTTCAGGTAAATGCTGTAACCTCTCAGCCATGCATCTCCTGGAAGAGTTTCATCTGAATTCTTCCACATGCCAACTGGTGTAGGTGCTTTTGCCTGTTAACTGTTCCCATTCAGTTGCAGTAAATGATTTAATGAATCAGTAATTGAGATCTGAATCCTGGACAATCGGTAGGCAGGCCAAACAATTTCTTGAGGCCTCAGAGTTTTACAGAAGAAAGCTTAGAATTCCTTGGACAGCCAAAAAAAGCAACAAAGAGGTTTTGAAAGAGGCGGGAGCACGAAGACAACTTATCACAGACATCAAAAGGAGACAGTCATCATTTTTGGGCCATGTTATGAGAAGAGGGAAAACAGAACATGTTGTGACCACTGGAAAGATCTGCGGAAAGAGGGATAGAGGAAGACAACTAGAGAAGATGATTAACAATCTTGTTGCATGGCATGGAGGTGTGTCGGCACACGAACTGATACACGCTGCAGGAGATCGCAGATTATGGAGAGGCATGAACGCCCACGCCAGTCAGCAAGGCACCTGATGATGATGAATTGATATCTCTACACTCAGAACATTCCCAAAAATGCTCTCTCTCTCTCTCTCTCTCTCTTTGCTCATTAACAGATAGAGTTCCCATTATGATGGCACCAGTGGCAACTTGTTTTCAAAGCTGTCTATCTTTTCCCTGCCAGTTCAGTTAATCAGAACGAGTGACTGCCCTAAAGCTTGATTTGAAAAAAAAAAAAAAAACTGGAAAAACATAAAGTATATGTCACCTTTGAGAACATGGTATAGTAAACAAAGGATGTTATAGTAACAAGCCTTTATCAGCAAAACAACAATGAGAAACATAAACAGTATAACAATTAAAATGACACTAAAGTAACTCCATCTCTGCCACGCCATTATGAGAAAGGAAGAAAGTGTATCTTGGGGTTACCTCCCCCCACCATGAAAAAGCTGTTTTTGCTACAGAAACTTGTTGCAGGAAGGGTTATTAAAAAGACTGCACAGGAGTGCAACAGAGGAAATAGACTGAAAGCCCTATGTAACATATAAGGGCACAACAGGACACTGAGGATGACACTCAAAAACCTTTGCTAATGGGACACAATTTTTTGTTTTAAAATTTATTTTAAAGCCTCACATCAGCTGTTGTCAGAGGCCCTAATATTAAATGGAATTTTTGGGACTTGAGCCCAGGTGATTCTTATCTGAATAGTGGCCCTTCGTGTCACTATGTGTTGGTTGCTGCTTGTGCCGTCCCGGTGAGGTTAAACTTCATTCACTAAGTATTCTTTTTTTTTCACTATTGTATTCTTTAGAGCTGAAATGTTTATGTTGTTTGTTTTTTCCGCCTGCATATTCAGTGTTGTGCTAGTCCTCTGGCCATGGACTGCATGCACTAAGCTTGTTATCTTTTTCATTACAAAATGTAATGAAAAGGAGGGTGGGGTGGGGGGAGCATTGAAGGAAAGATACAGAGAAAGAAGAAAACAGAGAAAGACCAAGTAAAAAAACAAAAAGAAACTGATCACTCAACTTCATCAAGTTATACCACAATATATGTTTAATATATGAAATTTGAAACCTCTACAACAGTGTCTGCCATAATATTATGGTTATTTTAAAAAAATTATTTCTACAGCTGTCGTACGGTGGAAGCTCTCCTGCTTTATCCAACAGAGAACGGTTTCCGACCTTCTTCCGAACTCATCCTTCTGGAACTCTCCATAACCCAATCAGAGTCAAGGTCTTCAAGAAGTTCAAGTGGACTAAAATTTCTACCATACAAGAGACACAGGAGCTCTTCACTTCTGTAAGTTTAAAGATATAATCTACCTGTTTCCACACTTTGAGACATAATTAATTTCTATAGAACAATCTACTTGACATGTGACATGGCCAGTCGCACTGCTCCCATTTACTTCCAAGAAACTTGCCTGGTTTCTATGTTAAAGACCTGGTCAGTTGTAATGACTTTCAAGGCTGTTCAATGCAAAGATTGAACAGCCTTAAAAGTCTATGGTTAAGCACCAGCAAGGAGATCAAAATTAGAATGTGAGTCGTGGACTATATCTCAGTCCTTAAGAAAGAGAATAGGGGCTTTTGAGCTGAAATGCTATAGAAAGATTCTCAGAATATCTTGGACAAAGAAGAATAGAAATGCTGACATTTTGAAAGATCTGAACATCAAGAAAGACTGGCTAATAAACAGCAACCTGTCTCAGAAGCTGAAATATTTTGGTCATATCAAGCACCACGATGGATTGGAAAAAACTATAGCAGAAGAATGGTACCAGGAAGGAGGGGCAGGTACCAACTGACACAAAGATGGGCACAGGATATAAGTGACTCCTTGAGTATGAAAGTACATGGGGCGGGAGAACTGGCGAGAGACTGAGTTTCTTTCCGGCAGACTGTGATGAGAGCGACGTTCTGCAAAGGACCTGCTACATGATGATGATGATGGTCAGTTGTAAAAATCGTCCCTGTTTTTGGTGCTAGCACATGACTGACAGGTTGCTATGCAGAAGTTTACAGGTTGCTATGCAGAAGTTTACAGGTTGCTATGCAGAAGTTTACAGGTTGCTATGCAGAAGTTTACAGGTTGCTATGCATAAGTTTACAGGGTGCTATGCAGAAGTTTACAGGTTGCTATGCAGAAGTTTACAGGTTGCTATGCAGAAGTTTACAGGTTGCTATGCAGAAGTTTACAAGTTGCTATGCAGAAGTTTATAGGTTGCTATGCAGAAGTTTACAGGTTGCTATGCAGAAGTTTACAAGTTGCTATGCAGAAGTTTACAGGTTGCTATGCAGAAGTTTACAGGCTGCTATGCAGAAGTTTACAGGCTGCTATGCAGAAGTTTACAGGTTGCTATGCAGAAGTTTACAGATTGCTATGCAGAAGTTCACAGGTTGCTAGGCAGAAGTTTACAGGTTGCTAGGCAGAGGTTTACAGATATGCTGGACTAGATTTGTATCAGCTGTAAAAAAAAAAAAAAAAATTATAACATCATGAATAGAAAAGACAATTACTGTAGCTGATGGCTCAACAATCTTTCTGTCATTGTTCTTTCTTCTTTTGATTATTCCATGTTCTGTCTTTCAGTATCAGATTTTAAAGACACATTAATAAAAAAAAAAAGTGACATTATTATTTAGGATCATTGTTATTGGGAGTTGTCATGGTGTATCCGCTATACGATTGCCTACAGATCAGAAGGTTATGGGTTCGTGTCCTGGCGGAACTGGGCTTTCTTCAAAAATGACTTTGGCTCTCAAGTTGACCCAGCCATGTGTGGGTACCAGGTGCAGTACTAGGAAGTAAAGGTGGCCAGCATGATGGTGACCACATCACTCACCAGTGCCGAATGGACTCTAAAATATAAGTCTACCCATATATGCCCTATGCACCTATTGTGTCTGTCTGCGTGTCAGTGTGCGTGTCAGTCTGTGTTGTGTGTCTGTGTGTGTGTGTTTTTATGTCTATCTGTATGTGTGGCTGCGTGTGTGTCTGTGTGTGTGATTGTATGTGGATATGTACGGGTGTGGCTTGGCTGCATGTTTGTCTGTGTGTGTGTGTCTGTCTGTTTGTGTGTATCTATGCTGTGTCTGTAGGTGTTTCTGCGTGTGTCTGTGGCTGTGTGTTTCTCTGTGTGTTGTTTCGTGTGTATTTGTATGTTCAAATTTTTGATAATGTGTGTGTGTGTGCGTCTGCATGTGTGTGTCTGTGCGAGTATTTGTGCGTCTGTGGGTGTGTTAGTATGTGTTTGTGTCCGTCTCTGTGTGTCAGTGTGTGTGTGCCATTATGTGTCTGTAGGTGTGTATGGCTGCATGTGTATATGTGTCTGTCTGTGGCTGTGCGTGGCTTTGTGTGTATCTGTGTGAGTCTCTATCGGTGTGTCTATTATATTATGTCTGCGTGTCTCTGCTTGTGTCGGGTTATGCCTCTGTGTGCGTACGTCTGACTGTGCGTGTCTGTGTGTGTATATCTTTGTATGTGTGGGTGTTGCGTATGTCAATGTGTGTGTCTGTTTCCCTGCCTGCTTGTGTGTATGTGTCCCCCTATGTGTGCCCGTGACTGCATGTGTGTGTGTCTGGATTGTATGCGTGTGTATGAGTGTATGTATGTATGTATGTATGTATGTATGTATGTATGTATGTATGTATGTATGTATGTATGTATGTATGTATGTATGTATGTATGTATGTGTATGTATGTATGTATGTATGTATGTATGTATGTATGTATGTATGTATGTATGTATGTATGTATGTATGTATGTATGTATGTATGTATGTATGTATGTATGTATGTATGTATGTATGTATGTATGTATGTATGTATGTATGTATGTATGTATGTATGTATGTATGTATGTATGTTTTTATGTGAGTTTGTATGTATGTATGTATGTTTTTATGTGAGTTTGTATGCATGTGAGTATGTATGTATGTATGTATGTATGTATGTATGTATGTATGTATGTATGTATGTATGTATGTATGTATGTATGTATGTATGTATGTATGTATGTATGTATGTATGTATGTATGCATGTATGTATGTGTGTGTGCATGTTCGTATGTATGTGGATGTATGTGTGTACTTAGTGCCTATATGTTTGTGTGTAAGCGAGTCATTGGGCTTGTGTGTGTATGTGGGTGTGTGTGTTCGCGCGTGAGCGTGCGTACATATTTTACCAGCCATGCTTTTGTTCATCTTTTTTTTGACTTCATATATATAATATGCATAAAGGAAAGAGCATCCCGTATTTTTACAGACCATTTGGCACTAGGTGGGCAATGTGTTCAGCATTACGCCGGCCGTCTTTACTTTCCCAGGACAGCCATCCTGGTACCCTTTTTAGGCTAGGTCAACCTGTGACGCCCCGTGCCATGATAAAAATCAAAATAGCTAGCAGTGGGTTTCGATTGCAGTACGGTGAAATTTTGAGTCGGACTCTCAACGCCTAAGCCACGGATGCAGCGAGTAAACAGTGTGGAGGCCTAAATAGATCATCATGGTCTGAAGAGAATGGTGCAGCGAGGAGTGACCAGGGGATCTGGCTAATGCTGAACACTGAAGTAAGTAGCAAGTCGGACATACAATCAGAATATTACTGGTACCATCAGAATTAAAACTTTGTGCTTGCTCAATGTTCCAAGTGCTGTGATGTCAGTTCTTAACTTGTAACTCATAATTCTTAGCTCATAACTCATAACTGTTAAGTCAGATTTCATAACACTTGATTCATAACTCATATAGTTTTCATGATTCCAGCGACAGGATGCTAGGATCATTGTCGGAGTGTTTTATGAAGACATGGCCAGGAGAGTATTTTGCCAGGTAATGCTTTTTCAAACATGAAATCAGTATAATGTGCCAAAATTAGGTGGTTAGTTGCGCTTAGAATGTAGCAAGTTTTAAACCCGTTTTTTCTTCCCTCATCCCCTTTCCCAACTATTACCAGTTTCTTTCGTCCTTCCTTCCTTCATTTCTTTTGTGCATATTTTTTCTCTCTACAATTCCTTTAATTTTCTTTTTTTCTTTCTTTCTTTTTTTCTTTCTTTCTTTCTTTCTTTCTTTCTTTCTTTCTTTCTTTCTTTCTTTCTTTCTTTCTTTCTTTCTTTCTTTCTTTCTTTCTTTCTTTCTTTCTTTCTTTCTTTCTTTCTTTCTTTCTTTCTTTTTTTTCTTTCTTTCTTTCTTTCTTTTCTTTCTTTTCTTTCTTTCTTTCTTTCTTTCTTTCTTTCTTTCTTTCTTTCTTTCTTTCTTTCTTTCTTTCTTTCTTCTTTCTTTTTTCTTTCTTTCTTTCTTTCTTTCTTCTGCCTGCACTATTGAGTTTGTAGAGTGAGCTTAGAGTCTCCTACTTTAATATATTTATCTTTTTGTTCACTGGCTGTAAACATTGACTCAAAGTTCTGGTTGTTTGTCCACTCCTGGACTTTGGTCTTGATCCAGAACTTGAGTTTTGCATGCACATTCATTTTGCTCATCTGGATATTTTTAAGACATGCTTGTGTGTGTGAGTAGGGGTTGGGGGGAGGGCGGGGGTTGAACTAATCTTTGTTCTCTAAAATGAACGGTACCGAGGCACAGAAAGATCATTATGGTCTGAGGGGAATGGTGCTGCGAGGATTAACCAAGGGATCTGGCAGATGCTTAACACTCATGGGAAGGATGAGATCGATATACAATCAGATCGTTACAATTACCATCAGAATTGGAACTTTTCGTTTGCTGCTTAAGATAGGGACTGAGTACTTATGGGAGTGTCAGAGTGCTGTGATGTCTATTCTTAATTCAGCATTCAACATTCAATATTCTTTAAAATGAAGCCCTGGAATACAAATCAGAAATATATGTATTATTTTACATATACAAGATTTGACTAATTGGACACATACAAGATTTGACTAATTGTACACATACAAGATGTGACTAATTGTACACATACAAGATTTGACTAATTGTACACATACAAGATTTTACTAATTGGACACATACAAGATTTTACTAATTGGACACATACAAGATGTGACTAATTGTACACATACAAGATTTGACTAATTGTACACATACATGATTTGACTAATTGTACACATACAAGATTTGACTAATTGTACACATACAAGATTTGACTAATTTGTCACATACAAGATTTGACTAATTGTACACATACAAGATTTGACTAATTGTACACATACAAGATTAGACTAATCTTACACATACAATATTTGACTAATTGGACACATACAAAATTTAATTAATTGGACACATACAAGATTTGACTAATTTTACACATACAAGATTTGACTGATTGTACATATAAAAGATTTGACTAATTTGACACATACAAGATTTGATTTGGTTAGATGGTCTCTATGGTCCAGTGGTCAATTCATTTCCCCCATGCTGTGAAGGTCGTGGGTTCACCAGTGCCACTTTTATTAAACCTGCTGAGAATTGTCACCTGAGCTACAGTGTTTGTGTCTTGTGCAACATTCTCAACAGGTGGCTGGCTATTCTATGGAGAGAGATCAAGCCCAGTGCAACAAAGTCCATCCTCTGGACTTCAACTCCTAAGATATATAATATTTGTTTCTTCTTAGCTTTTCCCAGCTGTAAACTCCAGTGGAAAGTCCTGGTTGTTCATTCACTTCTGCACTTTGGTCTTGTCTCAGAATTTGGGCTTTGTGTGCATATCTTTCTTACTTCTTATTTATAATATTTGTATGCAGACTGCTGGTTCCTCGCCTCTCAGGGGGCTGCACTCTAAAAAAAATACTCAAAATTAGTAGCCTTCTGTGACATGTGGGGTAGCAGTTGTTCTACTATTCTTCTCCCCTTCCCCCACCAAAATAAAGCCCAGGAACACACAGAGAAACACACACAGGAACACACACAGGTACACACACTGGAACACACACACAGAACACACACAGGTACACACACAGGAACACACACAGGTACACAAACAGGAACACACACAGGTACACACACAGGAACACACAGAGAAACACACACAGAAACACACAGGAACACACACAGGTACACACATAGGATCACATACAGGAACACACAGAGGAACACACACAGCAACACACAGAGGAACACACACATGAATACAGAGAGGAACACACAGAAATACACAGTGAAACACACACAGGAGGACACACAGGATCACACACAGGAACACATACAGAAACACACACAGGTACACACACAGGAACACATACAGGTACACACACACAGGAACACATGCAGAAACACACACAGGTGCACACAGAAAACACACAGGTACACACACAGGAACACACACAGGTACACACACAGGAACACATATAGGAACACACACAGGAACACACACAAGAACACTCACAGGTACACACACACTGGAATACACACAGGTACACACACAGGTACACACAAAGATACACACTGGAACACACACAGGAACACACACAGGTACATGTATAATATTGACATTGTATGGTTTAGGCTTACAAGGAGAAACTCTATGGCAAGAAGTACGTGTGGTTTATCATTGGCTGGTACCCAGATAACTGGTACAGGGTCAAGGACGACCGCCACAACTGCACCGTTGAGCAGCTGGAGGAAGCTCTGGAGGGTCACTTCACCACAGAGGCGGTCATTCTACATCAGGAGCCCACCTTGACCGATGTTGGGATGGTGGGTATAATATTTTGTGAATCTTGGTATTCTAATTTTTATGAAGAGATGTTTTACATCTTGTGATGGTGTTGTCATATTTTGTGATAGGTGATATTACCTTATGGAATTGTGGGTATTCAGTTTTGTTATAGTGGGTATTGCCTGCCTGTCATGTCTTGGTCGGGTATGACTGAGTACCAAGTACCATTTAACATTAGATGGTACTGTCTGTTTTCTGTTAACTTTGTCAGATATGACTGAGTTATCATATAACATTAGATGGTACTATCTGTTTTCTGTTAACTTAGTCAGATATTACTGAGTTATCATATAACATTAGATGGTACTGTCTGTTGTCTGTTAACCTAGTCAGATATGAGTGAACTAAAGTGTAGCAGTAACCAGCTTTGTCTGTTTTCTGCACCACACCTAACATTCAACATTGTCCCAGTGGCTTCGGGTAGAAAAATGCTTCGGGGCAGATAGTAGCCTGATCCTTGGAAGAGGAGATGCAACTTGTGAAAACTTCTGCTCTTCTGATCTGGTCGGGCGGGTCTTTTTAGTCACACTTACTGTCGACATGCGCTGTGAGTCCCATGCCTTATCTAGCACAATATAAAACTGTCGTCTGGAAATGGAAAAGTGCCAGTGAAAGTGTATGTATTTTGTTATGTTTAGAAGGTTGGTATTACATTTTTTTAAATGGATGATCCCTCCATCATGTAGCAGGTCCTTTGCAGAACGTCGCTCTCATCACAGTCTGCCTCAAAGAAACTCTGTCTCTTGCCAGTTCTCCTGCCCCATGTACTTTCATACCCAAGGAGTCATTTATATCCTGTGCCCATCTTCGTTTTGGTCAGCCCCTGCCCCTCCTTCCTGGTACCATGCCTTTTGCTATAATTCTGTCCAATCCGTCGTAGCGCTTGATATGACCAAAATAGTTTTGTTTACGAGACAGAATTCTGTTTATTAGCCAAACTTCCTTGATGTTCAGATCTTTAAAGATATCAGTATTTCTCCTCTTGTTTGTCCAAGATATTCTGAGAATCTTTCTACAGCATTTCAGCTCAAAAGCAAAAAATTTATGATACTGTAATGATTAACTAGTAAGTGTCTTCAAATTTTGTGTCTGTCAGTTTGTGTTGTTATTTTGAAGAGAACACATTTGCTTTTCTGAATCCTTTTTTTATTTAAAAAAAAAAAAGTACCAGGGTTCAAAGTTGGATGCAGACCTTTGGTAGAATACCGCCATTCACTGATTTTTTTAAATGGTATAAGTGTAATACTATTCACAGAAGGATTACGTCCTTTAGATTTGCCCTCTAGGTCATGCCGATCTGTTGGAAAATAAACTGACAGACTAGTTAGTTCTGCACCATTTGGTGGTGAATTTGTGCATGACAAGCTAGATTTGTTAAGGGTCCTTTGGGAGGAGTAAACAGCATGATGGGACAGAACGATTGTCACAGTCTGAGGAGAATGGTGCTATGAGGAAAGGGGGGGAGGGGGGAGGTGGCTGGATCTGGATGACTACACTCAAGAGACTGTTAATGGTGGCGTTTGAAGTCGAATTCTGTGCTTGCTGCTGAGGATGGAGACAGAGTGCTTATGGGAATGTCTCAGGTGCTGTGATGTCAATTCTTAACTCAACTTCACAAAAGGAATAACAAACTAATGAACTTAAAATTGCCTAGTGAAGCAACAAAGAGCCAATAAATACTGTAGTTAATTTGCAAAGTTTTGAACAGGATATACAATATAAACTATATTCATTATTCTTTTGCACAGCAGTAAAGCATAACTTTGAATATGTTCATAACTTTATTAGTGTGTTTCTACTTTCACATCTACCTAGACTGCCAAGGAATTTACCCAACGATTAAATGAGAGACTGAACACCACTGACACAAGTCTGATCACAGGATATCCTGAAGCTCCGCTGGCCTATGATGCTGTTTGGTCAGTGGCTTTTGCCTTCAACAAAACAGTGAAGAAGTGAGTCGCTTCAAATTTCAAATTTTCCAGTAGCCAATTTTTCGCACATGACAGCCTGGTTTCCCACTGTCTGGCGCGGGCCTTGATAGACGAGGCGACGACCGATCTCGTATGTATTCTTAAATTTTGACATATTCATGGCATTGTGGTGCTGGGGTGTCTGTGGATTACCTACCTCCCCGGGCAGCAGCTAGAAATGCCCTGTACAGTTCTAAAGGAAATATGGGTTGTGTTTCTGCCTTTCCCTTTAACACGTAGCTAAGGTGGGGCTCACAGTGTTCTCATTCCCCGCCACCAGATTGCCTGCAGGTTTCGCTGAGCTCTTCATGTCTCTAAGCATGGCCTAAGTATGAGTAGTTGGGGCAACTGGATCGTCACGTCCTGAGTCCCTGTGCCTTCACGATAGTTTCCGGTATTCAGGGGGGTTAGCATACTTGTTTCCATTCCTAAGACTGTTCAGCACACCTCTGGTTCCTTCCCCTCCCACAGGGGCAGTACGGTGTGGTGCACCGGGTTTATTATCGAGGTTTGCTCCTCTAGATCCATTGTGTTTTGCCTGGGGATTCGCACCCCCAGTTACCGGGACTACCTCGGGGAGGCTGTGACTCTTCGCCACGCACAATGGTCTTGAGGTAAGAGAGGTTTTGCTAGGTCAAGAGGCTGACACCACAATGGACGCTCCTTTCGTGAACAGATATTCACTAGACCTAGGGTGAAGTAAGGGGGGGAACCCACTACCCACAACACCAACACTTCTTACCCCCTGCCTCTCGAGGCTCAGTCCCAGTCGCTTCAAATAGATACACTAAAGGTTCAAAGGTTAAAGTGGAGAGAATCGAGTTCATTGCTTTCTTTCTCACTTACTTATTTAGTCGCTCCTCTTCTACCTTGAGAGGTAGAGGTTTACTAGAGAGATTGCCAGACTTCTCTGTCCGGTTTTTTGTGTGTGTGTGTGTGTGGCTTTGTTCTATTCTAGGACAGAGGACTGGACGTCTTCATTGCACCAGGTTTTGTCTCAAATGGCATTGCCTCCCTCTGAAGAATGGCTAGCCACCTGCCAAGAAAACTGGAACAAAGCATGAACACCATAGCTCTAGCAACAATCTCCAAACTGAATGACACAGCTATGATCTTTAGAGCATGAGGCAAACTGCTTGATCATTTTGCCAAAGAGAACTCTGTAGATACACTAAAAATCTACCACCTACTACAGTGACCTAGAATTCATGAAAACCCACTGTTTCATACCCTGGTATCAGTATCTATCACAGAACTACCTTTACCTTTTCTTATATCATTTTCAAGGTATTTTTTGTTTCCAGGGCCTTTACCCAGTAAGTTTTCTTTTTGACATGATGTCTTTCGGCAGTGCCTAAGGTGCCTATAAAACAGAAACGACCAAAAAAAAAAAAAAAAAAAAAAAAAAAAAAAAAAACAAAAAAAAAAAACTGCCTATAAAACAGCTGTATTACTGTTTGCAACTGTAGTGGGTGTAGATTTAGTAGGCATGATTTTATTCCCCCCCCCCCCCCCCCCCCCCTTCTCCAATATTTTTAGAGGGAGATATTATTTGGTGAGTTTCTGATTCTGCAGCACCAACTGGCCAATCCCTGCACTCATGACCTAAAGTGATTAGAAGCCTACACAAGTGTGACTTTTCCTCTGAGACTTTGACCCACTCCTCTAGCCTTGTAACTGCTGATTAGCCAATAACTGAACTGTCTTGATTTATCTACAGGCTTGCAGAGAAAGGCATGAAACTTGAAGATTTTGATTATTACAATGATGAAATAACCAATGCAATATACTCAGCAATGAATTCCACAAAGTTTCTGGGGATCTCTGGCAATGTGGCTTTCACAGCCAAAGGTGATCGGATAGCCTGGACACAAGTGGAGCAGTTTATTAGTAAGCTTGTTATTATTTTACATTTTTGTTGTTGCTTTCTTTCTGTTTCCTCATCATCATGTGCCCTGCCAACTGGCATAGGTGCTTATGTGTCTCAACAGATCGCAATCACTGGTTGCCAGGAACAGCTCTCTTGATGATATCCCTCCATGCCATCATTTCAGCCCATCCAGCATCATCTCTTTTGGTCTGCCTCTACTCCTTTTTCAATCGATCTTTTCAGTTGTCGCGATGTTTTCCAGTGTCTCTCCTCTGTTTATGTGGCCAAAGAACAGTGTTTGTCTCTTTCTTATTGTTGTATATAGAGATCTACTTTCATTAGCTTCTTTAAAGTTGTTAGTTACTCTGGCTATCCAAGGTATTAGTAACATTCGTCTCAGAAATCACATCTCTGTTGCTTCCGAATTCTTCTTAATTTGTTCACTGACATTCCAAGATTCGCTGCAATACAGCAGAACAGGTTCTATGTAACATGTAATCACCCTCTTCCTGAAGTTAAATGAGAGCGATTTATTGCATTTGTTTCATTTTCTGAAATGCAGCTTTCGCTTGACCTATTCTGCTTTTAATCTCTTTCTGTTTTCATTTTAATAATGTTATTTGAAAGTCATAACAAACTAATTTTAAAAAATAAAGGATTGGCATCTGGATGACAAAAGTGTATAGAATGTTGAAGATATCAATGGATAGACAGCATGAAGATATGGTAAAGAAACACTTTCTAGAAGAATGGTGAAGAAAGACTTTCTAGAAGAATGGACAGCATACAGTTATGTTAAAAAAAATACTTCCTAGAAGAATGGACAGCATACAGTTATGTTAAAAAAAATACTTCCTAGAAGAATGGACAGCATACAGTTATGTTAAAAAAAATACTTCCTAGAAGAATGGACAGCAAAAATTCAGGACATAAACTGTTGGAGATACTTCATAGGAGGATGGTGAAAACTTTGAGGACTTCCGGTAAGTATGACGGATAGGCAGGTTTACTGTTCTTAGTTGTGTAGAAAAGCCATAGTTCCATCACCCAGCTACTAACCTGAGCGTGTGCTGCAGCACTGTGAGCTATGAATTTCATTTGAAATCCTTTTTTTTTTCTTCTTTTATTAACTGTGCTTAACATAGTTTGTGTTGTAAACTGCAGATTAAGAAAATCCAAAGTGGCCTTTGACCAGAAAATTGGTGGTGCTTGAAGTCATTTATTACAGGATTAATTATGACTTCCATCGAAGATGAACTATATTTCTAGTGCTGTACTGTTTGTATTGGCACTTCTGATGGCTGTCTTTTGCGTTTAATGCTTATGTGTGCTGTTGGCTTTGCTGAGACTGTAGGTATGTTCCCAAGGGACAGTGATGGACATTCTGTGTGGTTTTCATTAGCACAAGAACAGAGCAACTATGGGGTGAACTCTTTGCTACATAAGTTAGAAATGTGACTACCACTTTACCTTATTGCTTTGTAATTTATTAAATTCACAGTTATGATACCAGAGCCTATAAAAGAAGCATTTAGCAGTAATATTGTAACTTATCATGCATCTCGTAAGAGGTGACAGTGGGAGGTTATTGTAGGATGACTACCTCAGACCACAGAAAACCTTTGCTGCAAAAGTCAACCAGCTTTGATGGACATGTCTATAAAGGCCTGAGTTGGTTGTTAGACTATGATTTTTGTGGAGGAAGGTAGAAGAGGCTTAAGATGAGGAGTGAGCGGAAGAAAACATTGATTTAATCTTCTCCTTTGCATTTACTGGCTGTAAGCTCTGGTAAAAAGTTATGGTTGTTCATCCATTTCTGGATTTCAGTCTTGTTCCAGAGCTTGAGTTTTGCATGAAATCCATTTTGCGGATCTGGCTTATGTGTATGCAGACCATTAGTTCCTGACCTCTCAGGCAGATGCACTCCAACTTCAAAGGAAACAACCCTAATTATCTTACAACTTGATCTTTAGGGGAGTGGGGGGGGGGGGGGGAGGAGGATGTGGGGGGGGGGCAGTGAGTCATTTCTTATCTTCCCCTACAATGGTGTCCCAGGAACCTATACAGAGAACTTTGTCACAGGTCACTAGAGACATGTTAGAAAAGTTACAAATACAGGGAGCTGGTCCCAATCAGACGAATGCTAGGAATAAAGCCAGTCTTACAGGTCATCAAAGAACAACAAATGAAGTGGTTTGGACACCTAACAAGAATGCCCTGGTACTATCTGCCACAACGAACCACACTAAAATATTACAACGGGTATAGAGCAAGTGGAAGACCTAGGAAAATATGGAATGATGGCATTAGGAACAGCCTTACAGAAATTAACATCAGTCTTAATAGTGCACTTAACAAAGCTCATTAATGAATTTTTACATCTCCGCCCGAAACTTTGATGAGGTACAAGGTGGAAGAAAAGAAGAAGAAGGTCCCAACCAGAAGTGTCGGTTCTGTGGCTTTGAACTACTGGATGAAAGAGGTCATATGTTTCCTGTTCACATAATCGGTTTGTCATGTTTGCAATGAAGTAGATACCCTCTGCAAATAATAAATATGATTCTGTTGTTGATCTGTGTGTAGATGGATCCTATGTGAAACTTGGAGTCTATGATGCTGTAGCAGATAACTTAACCTGGTATAACAAGGAGAAATGGTTAGGTAGGTTGTTATGTAACTTATACTGGTATTACAAATACAAATGGTTAGGTAGGTTGTTATGTAACTTATACTGGTATTACAAAGACAAATGGTTAGGTAAGGTGTTATTTCTCAAGCCATTTTTTTCTTTTTAGTATTCATCAAACTCCGGCGAAGAGTCCTATTTGTTTGTCCATTTCGCGATTTTGATTTTGTCCAGCTGTTAGTTTTAACTCCTCTCTCAAAGTGCTATTATTGTATGTAATTCTGACCCAAACAATTATTACTCATACTAAAGGTTAAAAACATTTTAGGAAAGTACAGGCTGAAATTTGTCTGTGTGATACTGAATGAGTTCAGGTACTTTACTTAGTGATTCAAAATTAAATTTTAGTTCTTAGTTAAGTTAGTTGATCGCCCAATCATCCTCATCTCACATTGAACTAGCCCTTAAGCACTGACGTCCTATCTTCAGTATATCATTCAGCATGTAGTGACTAATAACACCTCTTTTCACTTGTAGTCTTGTCAAGCTTGCTGATTCACCACTGTCTCCTGAATCTTTATCTATTGATACTGCCTCTTTGAGAGCAATGACAACCCTGCCAGCAAGCTAGTTAGTTCACTCATTGATTTCCTCTTATCCCATAGTGTCCTGGCACAAAAATCAAACCGATTCCTGTCAGATGAGATTTCCTCAGAGACTCCAGCAATAGTCTTTGAATCCATCCTGTTTCAATATTCTTAAGCATGTTCATGAAAACAGCTAGAAATCAAGCATAGGAAAATATCTATGTCTTTAGCCAGGTCATTGCTTTTGTAACTGCCATTATTTTTTTTCTTAATTTTCATAATCAATCTCCGCTTTTGACATTAAGCACTGTGGGTAAGGGGAACAGTTTACAATAGATTGCTTGATTGGTAGCACTGATTATTATCATTGCTTGTCGATGTAAAATGTCTCTAATGTCATCAGTCCATCTTCTAATTTGGCACCCTCAGGCTTTCGCATCAGATCTTTTTTATGTGTAGCGCCTGTGTGGGTAGTTGTTATGACTGCATTCCAACAAGATGACCAAACCATTTGATTTTCTTCTTGATATAAGGTTTTGATCCCACAGAATGCCTGAAGGTATCATCTCTCTCTCTCTCTCTCTCTCTCTCTCTCTCTCTCTCTCTCTCTCTCTCTCTCTCTCTCTCTCTCTCTCTCTCTCTCTCTCTGTCTCTCCCAGATGGTTAAGTTGGCAACTTTTCTCAGACATCTTAACTCACATTTGGTAATTTTACAGAGGTGGGCCTTTGATAATGTCTGTATCTGGCACTGGCAGCATACTTTGAAAATGCTGGTTAGTTCAAAGTGAGTTAATACTTTATTCTTACCATTTTTTGAATCATTGCTTTTATATTCCCACAGGTGGGCGACCTCCTCCAGATCATACCCGTGTCATTGATCATTTGAGAGTAGTGTCTCCTACCTTGTTCTACTCCATGTGTGGCCTGGCTGGCGTTGGCATCTTGGCCGGGATGCTGTGTCTTGTTTTCAACTATTCCAACAGAAACAGGCAGTAAGTTAACTTGCAATTTATTTATGTGACTGTAATTTAAATTGACAGTTCTTCTTCTTCAGTATGTTAACTGGCTGTAAACTCCGGCAGAAACTTCTGGTTCTTTGTCCGCTTCTGGACTCTAGTCCTGTTCCAGAACCTGAGTGTTGTGTGGACATCTGTTCCAGAATCTGAGTGTTGTGTAGACATCTGTTCCAGAACCTGAGTGTTGTGTGGACATCTGTTCCAGAACCTGAGTGTTGTGTGGACATCTGTTCCAGAAACTGAGTGTTGTGTGGACATCTGTTCTAGAACCTGAGTGTTGTGTGGACATCTGTTCCAGAACCTGAGTGTTGTGTGGACATCTGTTCTAGAACCTGAGTGTTGTGTGGACATCTGTTTTAAAGGTCTGACTAATTTTTGTGCACACTGTGGGTTCCTTGTCTTTCAGGAATATGCACTCTAACTATGAAGGAAAACCTCCAGATAGTTGACTTTTAACTAAATGTTTGTTGGGGATGGGGGTGGTGGGGGGAGCAGTGGGTTTATTCTTGTTTTCCGCCACAATAGAGTCCCGGAACCCACACAGGGAAAATAGACAGAGCTAGGTCAAACTTGATATCAACTCAGCCAAAAATGGATACAGAGAATTGTCATGAGATGGGAGAAAATTATATTATTTTGTAAAAGTGGGACAAGGTTAATATTATATAAACAGATACCCAGTCTTGTCTATTATTTCGAATATATCTGCACATCCATTCCCTTTGCCTGTCTGTTGATCTACCTGTTTTTCTCTCTGTCTGTCTGTCTGTCTACTTGTCTCACTGAATGCATAGTAATACTCTGTGGAAAGTGGCAAACTTTTCTTCAAAGGTTCAGGGTAGTTAGCGTCCTTTGGCTGCTTTCTCACAAACAAATCATCACAATCTGAAGGGAATGGTTCAGTGGCCAAAGGAGCTGACTCAAGGGAGTGGTTCAGAGAGGTGTAGCCAAGGAATCTGAAGGGAGTGGTTCAGAGAGGTGTGGCCAAGGAATCTGAAGGGAGTGGTTCAGAGAGGTGTGGCCAAGGGATCGGAAGAGAGAGATTCAGAGAGGTCTGACCAAGGGATCTGAAGGGAGTGGTTAAGAGAGGTGTGGCCAAGGGATCTGAAGGGAGTGGTTCAGAGAGGTGTGGCTAAGGGATCTAAAGGAATTGGTTCAGAGATGTGTGGCCAAGGGATCTGAAGGGAGTGGTTCAAAGAGGAGTAGCCAAGGGATCTGAAGGGAGTGGTTCAGAGAGGTGTGACTGGGGGATCTGAAGGGAGAGGTTCAGAGAGGTCTGACCAAGGGATCTGAAGGGAGTGGTTCAGAGAGGTATGGCCAAGGGATCTGAAGGGAGTGATTCAGAGAGGTGTGACCGAGGGATCTGAAGGGAGAGGTTCAGAGAGGTGTGACCAAGGGATCTGAAGGAAGAGGTTCAGAGAGGTGTGACCAAGGGATCTGAAGGGAGTGGTTCAGAGAGGTGTGACCAAGGGATCTGGCTGAAGGGAGGGGTTCAGAGAGAAGTGGCCAAGAGATCTGGCTGAAGGGAGTTGTTCAGAGAGGTGTAGCCAAGGGATCTGAAGGGAGAGGTTCAGAGAGGTGTGACCAAGGGATCTGAAGGGAGAGGTTCAGAGAGAAGTGGCCAAGGGATCTGGCTGAAGGGAGTGGTTCAGAGAGGTGTGGCCAAGAGATTTGGCTGAAGGGAGGGGTTCAGAGAGGAGTGGCCAAGGGATCTGGCTGAAGGGAGGGGTTCAGAGAGGAGTGGCCGAGGGATCTGGCTGAAGCTGAATGCTCAGGAGAGGTGTGAGATGGGCATCCAGTCAAATTGTTGTTTGTACCACTGGAATTATAACTCTGCATGTCCTGTTGAATATACTGATCGGGTGCTTGTGGGAATGTGCCTAGTGCTATGATGTTGGTTCTTATCTGTTTTTCAACCAGCCTCTCTGCTGTCTTGCTGTCTGTTTGTCTACTTGTCTGTTTAGTTGTTAGTAATAGTAGTTCCTGTAACACGTTCCTACTCTCCACAGGTGTGTAGCTTTCTCACAGCCTGCCATCAACAACTTGACTGTGATTGGCTGTATGATCTGTCTTGGCTGCATTGTCCTCCTGGGATTGGACGGCAAGTTTGTACCAGCACACACCTACCCTGTTATCTGCCAGGTATGTGTGCACGTAATCAAGTGTCATTGTGTTTGAGGCAGTTAAGAAAGTTCCTGCACAAGTATCTATCTGTGTTCTTTTTAAGTTCCACCCCTGACAGCTTTCATGTCAATTTATTAAACCATCCAGAATTCTTTCTCTGTCAACCTCTCAGATACCTTTATTCTTCCTGGTTATGGCTGTTGTTAATACCGAATGTTGTGTGGCTTAAACCAGACTTGACACCCCTTTTGTTAAGGTTGCTGTTTCACCGTCTTCTTCTGATCCTCTTGCCTACTTGAGAGCATTGAGAACATTAACCCAGTCCATTGCCTTTTCTCTGCCTGCCCCAAATTGTTGAACTCTTTACTGTCTAGCATAATAATACATTTTGGCTTGTTTTTGTAGATTCGAGCTTGGCTGTTGTCTCTGGGCTTTACATTGAGCTATGGCTCCATGTTCTCAAAAATCTGGACAGTTCATCAGATGACAACAACTCGCAGGAAGGAGAGAGCTGTAAGTTAAAAATGTTTCAACTCGAGTCTTTTGTTGCAAGCTGAGTAACTTTGTTCTTTAGTAAAGCTGTTTTTTCTGCTTTAGGTGAATGGGACATATAATGCTAGACAGTTATTTTATAGATGAATTGGCACTCAGTGGGTGAATGTGTCAACACCACACCAGTCACCTTTACTTCCCAGGACTGTACCTAGTAACCATTTTAGGAGGGGTCACCTTTAAGAGGTGATGTTTCAAAATAATCTGGCTTTATTCAGATTTAAACTCTTGACCTTCCACAAATGCGTGTCAAGACGCTACACCATGGAAGCTCCCTATCATTGGATTGCATTTATTTATTGATCTTATAGTGTTTGCTTGTCTTACTATTTACTTGAAGTCCTTGTGTGATTCTGTGGCACTGTTGGGGGGGAAAAAGGACAGACCAACTGCACCAGATACAATTGTTGTAAGAGTTGACTAATTAGGGACATTTCCTTCTGCTGAATGAAGAGACTAATTAGGCATATTTCCTTCTGCTGAGGTGAAGAGACTAATTAGGCATATTTCCTTCTGCTGAGGTGAAGAGACTAATTAGGCATATTTCCTTCTGCTGAAGTGAAGAGACTAATTAGGGATATTTCCTTCTGCTGAGGTGAAGAGACTAATTAGGCATTTTTCCTTCTGCTGAGGTGAAGAGACTAATTAGGAATATTTCCTTCTGCTGAGGTGAAGAGACTAATTAGGGATATTTCCTTCTGCTGAGGTGAAGAGACTAATTAGGCATATTTCCTGCTGCTGAGGTGAAGAGACTAATTAGGCATATTTCCTTCTGCTGAGGTGAAGAGACTAATTATGCATATTTCCTTCTGCTGAGGTGAAGAGACTAATTATGCATATTTCCTTCTGCTGAGGTGAAGAGCCAACAGTCTGTATAAAAATAAGCCAGATCTGTCAAACGGATATTTATGCAAAACTAACATTCTGGGACAAGACTAAAGACCACAATTGGATGAACAATCAGAACTTTCTAATGGAGTACAGCAGATAGAAAAGAAGAAGAAGAAGAAGAAGAAGAAGAAGAAGAAGAAGAAGAAGAAGAAGAAGAAGAAGAAGAAGAAGAAGAAGAAGAAGAAGAAGAAGAAGAAGAGGAAGGAAAAAGAAGAAGAAGAAGAAGAAGAAGAAGAAGAAGATACTTGAATTGCATAATAAATCAGTTGAATGTTAAATGGAAACAAAGCATTTTCAAAAACTTTTCTTTGCTTGCATTTTCCAGAGAGTTCAGGCTTGGGAACTCTTCACTGTTCTTGCAATTTTAATCCTGATTGATATCGGAGTTCTTACCGCCTGGCAAGTTCTTGATCCACTTCAGAGAAAACTGGAAATATTTGCTCGCATTCAGCCGACCAACACTGAAGATGATATTGAACTTCTACCACAGCTGGAACATTGCAATTCAGAAAACTTGAATGTGTGGTTGGGTAGGTTGAAAAGGTTTTAAGAAACTTTATATTTATTACCACAGTATTTTCCTTATCTTCCACATTCTCTTTTATAAAGTCGATTTCATATAGTTGTGTGGTTTACAGCTAAGCTGCAATATCTGAATCTTTTGGCCCCTTGCCTCTAATTTTAGTAAACCCTTATGCAGCTGCTGAGAATGCTGAGGCTTTAATAATTAAAATCAACAACACTCTTCTTTGTAAGCAGACAGAATTTATAGTCAACTTGAGGTTACCCTGAAAGTCACGTGACTACAGTGAACTTCCGGTGATTAGACAAACACAATGCATCAAAAGAAACTATTCACATTTCAGTTGGATTTATTCAATTTGTTTGTGTGCTTCATGTTATGTTGATGTAACTCTGTAGTAACGCACCTGATGAGATACAGCGAAGTATGCCTGGCAATAAATTGAGCAATGTATTGTTTGTGTCAACATTATTTCATATCATTAAGGCAAAACATTGTTTTGAAAACCCTTATTAGCTGACTTTCATGACATGCTAGTTAAGTGACTGTGGGTCTATTCTTTTTTCTCCCAAAACAAGCTAAAGGTCACAGACTGAAAGTAGGAATGTCTTGGATGGTGCAAGCTGAAGACACAATTGGACATGTGTGCAGGCTTGATAAATTTAAGTGTGGAGAGGAGTGGCTCAAGGTGTCTGAACAAGTTTCAGACTTGTGAAGGGTTTGAATCACTTTAGGTCGTGATGCAGTGACTGGCCAACTGGTGCTGCAGAATCAGAAGTTCAACAAATGATTTATGACAATTCCCGCCCAAGTGATGCAATTATATGTACAATTGGCTCTGTGTTGAGGGGCAGACGAAGTGCATAGGGGTTCATAGCAAAGGCGAATGGACATCACTTAGTGCAGTAAAGCCTGTGTTGGGAAATGAGCATGCAGACAGACTTGCTGGCTCTGTACCACTTGGTGGTGAATTGATGTATGACAAGCTGGATATTGTGAGGGCCCTTTGGGAACGAATGAACAGTGTGGAGGCACAGATAGATCATTACGGTCTGAGGAGAATGGTGCTGTGAGGAGTTAACAAGGGGATCTGTCCTATGCTCAACACTCAGGGGAAGGATAAGATGGTTAAACAATCAGTCGGTTACTAGTACCATCGGAATAGGAACTCTTCACTTGCTGTTGAAGATGGGGACAGAGTGCTTATGGGAGTATCCTGAGTGCTATGATATTGATTTTTAGTTCAACATTCAACATGTCCTGTGTGAACAAAAGGACAATGAAATGAATAAATCTCACTAATATTTTTAACATGCTTAACAAATTGCTCTACCAGTGCAATAATCTCCTGTGGTATTCTCAACTAAGCATAATTTCTATCTTTGTTCAGGTGTGCTGTTTGGCTACAAGGGAATTCTCCTCATATTTGGACTCTTCCTGGCTTATGAAACCCGCAGTGTTAAACTGAAACAAGTCAACGATTCTCGTTTTGTGGGAATGAGCATCTACAACGTTGTGGTTAGTTCTGACCTTTTGACTTTGTGGTTTAACAATCTTGACATGAAAATACATGATGTAGAGGAAAAAGCATGCCTTCCATTGCTGATCTGCCTAAACCAATGTGATGTTTAGTCAAGGTTTCAACTTCACTACATTCGGGTTTTCCCCATACTTGTTCTGTTCCTGTGCCAGTAAACAATCAAATGAAATATCCCTGGCTTCCTCATTTGAAAAACTGGAGAACAATAAGTCCTGGAACAATCTAGAAATATGCGCACACAGTAAATGCAACAGGCAGTTGCTAGATGTACCAAAGCCAACAGCACCAGAAATACAGTTTGTCGTTGATGGAAGTAGTCAGGCATGATGAGTTGGCTATACAAACGTAGAATTATTACATAAGGTATTTGACCAGCTCACACGTAAACCAGCTACCGGCCATATTGAATACCAAGACTCAGCCGCTGCACAAATGAAAGGCATTTTACATGAAAAACACAGCTCACAGTGCTGCTCCAAGCACTCAACTCAGCACAGCATGCAGCAAAACTGTAGACTAGCATCTATCTGTATAAACTGCATTAGCAAAGGGCTGTTGAAAGCAAAAATAACTTTGAAGCTTAACATTCTGCCATGCCTAGTCCTCCATTTCGACCAGAAGTATCAGCTGTTTGACATGACATAAGCACTTCTTATAGTGTTGTTAATATAAGGATTGAGCACCATAATGTCATTATTTTTTTTTTAAGTATCTGCTGAAGTGTTATAATCATAAGGAGCCTCTGCTGGGAATAATATAAGAAAGGTGAAGAAATCAGAGAAATGTCTGGACAACCAAAAGGAATGGACAGAGAATCACCAAGCAAGCACTGGAATGAAAAACAAATCCACTGAGAAAACAAGTTTATCCAAGAGAAACCCTGAGATGAACCATGTTGAGAGAGGCCAAGGATGTTGTGCTGGTTTTTTGTCCATGAAGTTGAGATGATTGCACAGAATAGAATGTAACTGAGGACTAGACTGCAATTTCTGTGATTTATTGCAACAGAACAGGATTATTAACAAAAATAGCTACTGATGTGTCATTCATATAAGAAGCAGCTACTGTAGTGCATTTAATATAATAAATAGCTACTATAGTGTCCTTGCTAATCTGTGTCTCTGCTAGTCAGTGTCTCTGCTAGTCAGTGTCTCTGCTAGTCAGTGTCTCTGCTAGTCAGTGTCTCTGCTAGTCAGTGTCTCTGCTAGTCAGTGTCTCTGCTAGTCAGTGTCTTTACTAATCAGTGTCTTTGCTAATCAGTGTCTCTGCTAATCAGTGTCTCTACTAGTCAGTGTCTCTGCTAGTCAGTGTCTTTGCTAATCAGTGTCTCTGCTAATCAGTGTCATTGCTAGTCAGTGTCTTTGCTAATCAGTGTCTCTCCTAGTCAGTGTATTTGCTATTCTGTGTCTCTGCTAGTCAGTGTCTCTGCTAATCAGTGTCTCTTTTAGTCAGTGTCTTTGCTAATCAGTGTCTCTGCTAGTTAGTGTCTCTGCTAGTCAGTGTCTCTGCTAGTCAGTGTCTTTGCTAATCAGTGTCTCTGCTAGTCAGTGTCTTTGCTAATCAGTGTCTCTGCTAGTCCGTGTCTTTGCTAATCAGTGTCTCTGCTAGTTAGTGTCTCTGCTAGTCAGTGTCTCTGCTAGTCAGTGTCTCTGCTAGTCAGTGTCTCTGTTAGTCAGTGTCTCTGCTAGTCAGTGTCTTCGCCAGTCAGTGTCCTTGCTAGTCAGTGTCTCCGCCAGTCAGTGTCCTTGCTAGTGTCTCCGCTAGTCAGTGTCTTTTCTAGTCAGTGTCTTTGCTAGTCAGTGTCTCGGCCAGTCAGTGTCCTTGCTAGTCAGTGTCTCCGCCAGTCAGTGTCTTTGCTAGTCAGTGTCTCTTCCAGTCAGTGTCTCCACCAGTCAGTGTCCTTGCTATTCAGTGTCTCCGCCAGTCAGTGTCTCCGCTAGTCAGTGTCTCCGCTAGTCAGTGTCTCCGCTAGTCAGTGTCTCCGCTAGTCAGTGTCTCCGCTAGTCAGTGTCTCCGCTAGTCAGTGTCTCCGCTAGTCAGTGTCTCCGCCAGTCAGTGTCTCCGCAAGTCAGTGTCTCTGCCAGTCAGTGTCTCCACCAGTCAGTGTCTCCACCAGTCACGGTCTCCGCCAGTCAGTGTCTCCACCAGTCACGGTCTCCGCCAGTCAGTGTCTCCACCAGTCACGGTCTCCGCCAGTCAGTGTCTCCACCAGTCACGGTCTCCGCTAGTCAGTGTCTCCGCTAGTCAGTAAAGAGTAGCAAATGTGTTCTGTGGATCAATAAGAGAAGAAATACTGACAGCCTAAAAGATCTGAACAACAAGGAAGTTTTGCTAGTAAACATCGCATCTTGTCTCGGAAACTGAAATTTGTTGGGCATATCAGGCACTAAAAGTGATTGGAAAGAAAGTAGCATGGTGCCAGGTAAGAGGGGCAGGGGCTGAATAGCATGAAGATGGGCACAGTATATAACTGATACCTCAGATAGGAGAATGCACACACTGAGGAACCAGGATTCTTTGAAGCAGATCAGTGAGAGCAAGATTCCTCAAAGAACGTGCTACATGATGTGCATGCTGACAAGCTACTGTACTGTAATTTTTTTTTTTTTTTTAAATACATATATGAAGTATATAACTTCTGTCCATGATATTCAGGTGTGCATGGTAGCAAGCAGGCTGATAGATTAGCTGCTGCTGCTTCTCTGGGTGATGAGCAACTTTATGATAAAGCAGATCTGGTGAAGGCTCTCTGGGATCAAATAGACAATACAATAGAACAGACAGAGGATCCTTACAATGAAATCCACAGGGGTTGAGAAGAGGTTGCCACAACACAAAGCCAATCACAGGCAGACTTTCAGGGGGGGGGGGGGGGGGGGGGGGAGAAGAGGTTGCCAATCACAGGCAGACTTTCAATCAGGTTGCAGCTGGTACTGTTAGCATGTCAACTCTTCATTGGACACTGAAGAAGGGGGCGGAGTATGTATGCAAATGTCCCGAATTCAGTGATGTCAATTCCTGGTTTATTCCTTCATTTCATTTGAAGTCATGACAAGACCTGTCATAAATGAATGTGACTTCTGTATTGATATTCCAGGTCCTGTGTGTAATCACTGCCCCTATTTCCCTTATTATCGGAAACCAAGAGGATGCCACTTTTGCATTTGTTTCTTTGGCCATCATCCTGTGCAGTTTTCTGTCCATGGGGCTCATCTTTGTACCTAAGGTAAGCTTTTCATGTGTCTCGATTTTTTCATGTGATAAAGCAGTTTATTATAAAACACTCTGTGATAAAGCATTATGTGATAAAGCTGTTTATTATAAAACACTTTGTGATAAAGTATTCTTTGATAAAGCAGATTATTTTAAAACACTGTGTTAAAGCATTCTGTGATAAAGCTGTTTATTATAAAACACTCTGTGAAAAACCTTCTGTGATAAAGCAGTTTATTTTAAAACACACTGTGATAAAACACACTGCAAAATAGCACTTTGTAATAAAGCACTTTGTATAAAGCAATATGCAGTTAAGAACTACGCATAAAGCTGTATGTAAAAAAGCACAATGCATAAAGCACTATATAATAAATAACTATGAATAATGCACTGTGTAATAAAGGACTCTGCAATAAAGTACTCTGCAGTAAAGAACTATGTAATAAAGCACTATGCATAAGCACTTTGTGATAAAGCACTCTGCGATAAAAAACAGTATATCTGTTTACATGCTCAGAGGGCTTGTTTCTCATATAGAAGCTGCAATAACCGTATCCCATAGCTGTGGTTTCCATGATGGGTTAAAACATATCCTAGGCAGAAAAAACAGTCCAGTCAGCCACCCAACCAATCAGTCAGCTTAGCAACCAATCAGTCAGCCAAGCAACCAGTCAGTCAGCCAAACAACTAATCAGTCAGCCAAACAACTAATCAGTCAGCCAAGCAAATAATCAGTCAGCCAAACAACTAATCAGTCAGCCAATCAACCAGTCAGTCAGTTAAGCAATCATTCAGTCAGCCAAACAGCCAATCTGTCAGCCAAGCAACAAGTCAGTCAGTCAAGCAACCAATCAGTCAGCAATCAATCACCAGTCAGTCAGTCAGTTAAGCAATCAGTTCAGTCAGCCAAACAGCCAAAATCAGTGTCAGCAAACACCAGTCAGTCAGCCAAATAGCCAACAACAGTCAGACAGTCAGTTAATTTTTCAAGAATGAAACCATGATGACCTGATCTGTAGAGTCATAAAGCATAGCTGTTAGTTCATTTGCCTGCAAGAACACTGACTTGGGCGGTCAATCCCCTGTAGTAAAAAAAAAAAATTTGGGGGGGGGGGGGGGAGGGGGGCGGGATCAATTCAGGGTCATGCCCTAGATACAAGTCAACAGAAAACTGAGTCCCATCTCATTAGGTCATGATCTAGGATATATGAAGACCTAACATCTTACAATGAACAGGCAACCAGAAAATGGAATAGATCAACAACTGAAATATTTTGGCCACATTAAAAAACGTAACAATATATCTAAAAGGTAGACAATGATACAAGTGGGTACATTACATCAAGAGATGGACAAACAACAATCTAAGATAGAGACTCATCAGTGTGTTGGAGATCTATCACAGCCAACCTTCATTGTGGAGCTGGGTTGCTGTTGAATACTTTACACCACAGTGGCAGCATCTGCATTGGTGTTACTTTGACCTGGGTAGCTGCCTTGACCTTATGATCTTGACAGTCACCTTGTTCTCTGACCTTGAGTCATCTTTTCTTTGTGACCTCGACTATCCCATTGTCTTTGTGACCCTGACATTCGCTTTGTCTTTATTCTGCTTCTTCTGTTTCTCCTTCTAGGTGAAGGAGGTGATTCAGAACCCTCCAAGAGACGGCAGTGAAGTAAAGAGTTTAACAGATTCTTTAGTTAGCAGAGAGGAAGAAGAAAGACATCAAAAGATGCTTGCAGAAAATGAACAACTGAAGAAACAGATTGCTGAGGTAAGGCACCAGTCAAAGCTAATTAATAAATATTTATTCTAGTGTTTATAAGTTCAGACTTATAGCTAGAATATTTAAAGAAAGGCATGCTCTTTGCACAGAACCAATCCTCAGTTACATACAATGACAGTAAATCAAAGAGTTTGCCCACTCAGAGAGAATGCCCTCTGATACAAGGCATATACCACAAGAGGAGAAGGGCATAGAGCAAGAGGTAGACTAAGAACAAGATGGAAATATAACATCAGAGAAACTCTACAGCACCACAATGTGTCTATGGTCAAAGAAGCCAAAAGAGCACAAAGCAGGACCTTATATCTCCCTCAACACTGATAGTGGTAAAAGAGGACGTAAAGAAGAAGAAGAAGATTCTGAAAAGTCATAAACTTATTAGAACATTTAGACGTTGGCAAGTCAATGCTTTATTGGACATGTAATGAGAAGGAATAGACTGGAGAACTTTGTAACAACTGGCAAAATTGATGGACAGAGAGCAAGAGGAAGACAAAGAGATAAATACCTGGATGACCTGACAGCATGGATGGGGTGAGACAAAAACATTGACCTGATCTGCGATTTTTGTGATTGTATGAGATGGTGAAACAAGACAGACTGTGCTCACAGGCATAGCACATGATGATGATGCTCTGTGCAGAGATCCGTTAGATTGTTTTCTGACATCATGCAGGTTTGTTGGGAACTGAAACATTGGCTGGTGCAGCACCTCAAGGTGATGACTTGATGCATAACAAGCTAGATGTGGTTGAGACTCTTTGGAAACAAGTGAACAATACAGAAGTGAGAACAGATCATTTCAATTTGACAAGTCTGGTGAAGAGGAGAGTGAGCTGAAGATCTGGCTGACCTCTACACTTACAAAAAATGCAAGATGGACATATAGCTGAACTGCTACTGGTACCACTGGGTTCCTTGTGTCATTCAACCCTCACCAGGATGTACAATGAGCTACTAACACCCGGTGACACAAAGTGCCACCATTCAGATGAGGATAACCCAAGCACAAGTCCCATAAACCTTGTTCAACCATTGGGTTATATTAGGACCCTGGACTACAGCCGGGGTGGGGCTTTAGAAAAATGTTAAACAATTTCCCATTTTGGTACGGGACTTATCTTGTAGAGGGTTTCTTGAGACAGAAAAAGTTCATTTACTTCTTATTCTTCTTTTGTGTTTAGACTTGTTGATGTTCAATCCTTCAGATATCACCCACCTTCATTCATCTCTCATGGGTGTGTGTGTGATTGTGGGTGTGTGTGTGCGTATGCATTCATGTGGATATATGAATGTATATTTAAGTTTGTATGTGTGTGTATTTATGTATAAATGTTGTAAGTATGTGTGATTGTATATGAGTGTATGTGTGATTGTGGGTGTGTGTGTACATAATGTAGGCAGGTATGTATGTATGCATGAGTGTATGTATGTATATGAGTATCTGTGGGTGATTGTGTATGTGTGTATGCTTGCATGTGTGTGTATGTATGTAATATGTGTTGGCATGTATGTGGGTGTGTGAATGTGTGTATGTATGCATGTTTGTGGATGTGTGTATGCATTTGTAGATGTATAAGTATGTAGGTGTACATGTGTGTGTATTCAGGTATGTATGCAAGTATGAATGTATGTGTGTAAAGATGTAGGTGTTTGTATTGATGTGTATGTATGTATTTGTGTGTATGTATGTATGTATGTATGTGTGTATGTATGTTTACATGTGAGTGTAAATGTGTGGTTTTGGGTGTCTGTACATGTGATTGTATGTGTGTGCATGCATGTGTAGGTGTGTATGTATGAATGTGTGTGTGCATATATGTTCATATATGTAAGTGTGTGTCTTTTCTGTTTGTGTATATATGTAGATGCATTTATGTATGTATTAGGTATGTCTGTATATGAGTGTGCATGTATGAGAATGTGAGAGTATATATATATGTGTGTGAGTGTGTAAGATTGTGTACACATGATGTGTATATGCATTATTCTAAAATGTATATTTCTTTATTATATCCATAACATGCATTTTAGATAACAGGCATTAGTTTTCTGAAAAATGAGTGCTTAGAAGGGCAGAATGTCAGATGGGCCTGCGTACCCAATTTGTAACCCTTTGAAAATAAAGTATGTTCGTTCGTTAGTTTGTTCTGTGATTGGCTTTGTCCAGATTTTTATAGCTTTGCATGTATTTTTTTCTCCACCATCTTCTTGGTCTCCCTCATAGTCTGTTCTCATTCATCTCTTTTGTATGTGCAGTTTGTTTTTCTTGTTGTCATCTGCCATTCTTTCCGTGTACCCAAACCATGGCAGTTTATTAGCTCACATGATGCATCTGACTGGATAGTAATTTAAACATATCCTTAATTGTGGTGGTGCTTCTCACTCACCCCCATCCCCCCTACCCCTGTTTGCATCTTTATTGTGTGCAAAGATTCATTATAAGACTGTTCTCAACAGAAGTTAATAATGAATTATCTTTTGTTAAAGTTGTACTCCAGGTTTCAGAGCTATAAAAAACAGTCGGTCTTATCAGTGTTTTAAATATTATGATCCTTGTGTTATAAGATAAACCATTCTATTTTAGCAGATGTAGCTGTGATGCTACGAAAGAGAGTACTAAAATGTTACGTAGAACCTATATTCCTGTATGGTAGTGAATCATTAAATATGTATGCACAAATCAGAAAGAACTTAGAGGCGACGGGATGTGGTTCCTGAGACAAATGTTAAGAATCCCTTGGACTGCCTGAGTAACTAATGAGGATTGCTTCAAAGAAGCTAATGAAAGCAGATCAATATATACAGCTCTAAGGGAAAGACAAGCACTGTTCTTTGGTAATGTGATGACAGAGGAGGCTTTGGAGAATATTGTGATGACTGGAAAGATCCATGGTAGAAGAGGGAAAGGCAGACTGAGAGAGTTGATGATAAATGGATTGTGACCGTGGCCCATCATCGCTGGAACTGATCCAGGGGACAAAGGACCAAGATCAGTGGGGATGCATAAACGCCAACGTCAGTCACCAGGGCACGTGATGATAATGAGCGGAAAGAGTTACATCTGTAAAATAATCAATTTTCAATTCTCTGGGCACCATGGTTGCTCAGTGACCAGTGGGCTGCTTCCAGGGCAGTGTTTATGTGTTCAGGAAATGTTCTGCAAAGTAAAGGCAGCTGGTGTGATATTGACCACACCACCCAATGAGTTTCCTATTGATTGTTTAAAATATGGAGTCAGAACCATGTAAGCAATCTGGATCAAGGTGTGCAAATTGCTCCTTTATTTACCTAGTGAACAAAAACATTTCTAAATTTTAAACAAATCTGTCCTGCAGAGGCCTAGCAAGTGGCCTACGGATCATTGCCAGGGGTTTTGTATTAATGACCTTTCTCTGCTGGGGCTTGGCCTCTGGCCCTTGGCGATCCCCATTTTCAAAATGTATGCCCCTGTGTAAACTTAGTTGAATAGACCTACTGTACAGTATGTTGCAGAACAAACCACAGCACATTTTTTTACTGTTGATAATTTCTTTGGGCAATTTTATGTTCACTGGTTTGCTATTGCTTTCGGAATGATCAGCTCTCGGTACAACTGTTGAAACCAACACTTGGCGGTCTGCTGCAAATTCTTCAGCAGCAGGTATCGAACCTGGCACATTGGAATTACAAAGTGTGTTCATAACGCCTGAGGCACAGATGTCTAGAAACTTCTCCTTTACATAATCTGGAACATTAGTTACATTTATAATTTAACTCCACAGATGGAAGATCGTATTCGAGAATTAAACCAGAAGCTCCAAGAAAGAGCTCGTCAACGAAGTGTCATGTCTAACACATCTGTAACAACTGCCAGCACAAACGCTAGCACCAAACCAGCCTCAACCAACAGAGTGGTCTTTCTTGACCCCCACATCTCCGACAGCCATGCCAGGAAGCCATCTTGGCCTCAGTCTGCTGCCAATGATCACTCGGTGATCACTCATAATGCCATAAAATCGGCTTCGTCTCAGAACCTGACCACACCCAGTCTAATTGCTGTTGATGCTAACTCTGATTCGGGTCTTGCTTCATACAGCTATGGAAAGAATTCTTACAATGAAAGGAAAGGCTCAACTTCTGATATTATGGAGATTTCAGCCACTTCTAGCAACTTTCAGCTATAAAATGATGTAACTGCAGTAACAGAGAGTTGTGTTTCTTTGTTGCTGCTCTCCAATGTTGAAAATAAAGAAAATGAAGCCCCTGGGGAGTTAGCATTAAAGAGACATGTACTGTCCTGATGTTTTTTAAGCCAAGGGCGACTGATCAATGTTGTCTCATAGACTGACACATCTGATTATATCTTGTGAACTGCTTCTGTCCTTACTAACATACAATCTTTGATAAACTATTATGTATGAGTATCACAGTTATTTATCATTTAGTTAGTTAGTCCTTCCTGTTGAACCTACTAAAGCTCATAAGGCAGAAGTCATAGCTCTCCATGTCTGGTGGTTCGTTGCCACCTGCTTTAGGTCTTGGATGTTTTTTAGGCCTATGGCCGAGCCTTCCCTGATGATGGTTCTACACAGTCTCTCTTGGTCTTCCCCGGTTTTTTTTCCCTTCCGGTGTCCATATGAGGGCTAAATGGGGGAGTCTGGTCTTATCCATTCTGAGTCCATGGCCAATGCAATTCCAGCGGCACATTCTTATAAAATGATACATTGCCTTGCTTTTTCTTTTTTGTTTTGAATCTGAAATTTGTCCAGTGGAGATTTGATATTTTTCTAAGATATTTTTTTCAAAATCGTCTAATTTTTTTAAAACTCTAGAACTACCTTTGCTTTTCACCTCTCGCCATCGATAAGTTAGCACTGGAATCACACAAGAATTAAAGATCCTCAGTTTTGTGTGATTGCTGAGAGTCTTTGACTTCCAGATATTTGACAGTTTGTTAAAGGCATTAGATGCCAGTGCAATTCTAGATGATACTTTTTGCACAGACTCCATTATAGATGGCTTCTTACTCCCGAGGTATGTAGGGCTGTTGACTTTTTCAACAATGTGATTGTTTGGTTCGATGATCTAGCAATGTGTAATGATAATGATGATGAGGTTAAAAACTCTTGATCCCTAACCCTTTCATCACAAAACCCCTGGGGAAAAAAGGCATAGAACCCAAAAAATCCCCCCCCCCCCACCCCCCCCCCCCCCCCCCCCCTTCCTTTCCAATCCCACACAAAAAAATTATCCTTTAGAAGACAGCCAGCTTTACACTGGAAACTAATAAATTGAAAACATTTTGTCCGTACATTCAAGAATGTTTTAAACAAAATTTCTGTATAAAGAAGAAATTTTACTTCATGAGGTTAACAATAAATTAGATGTCGATTTACTGTTGATGCCAGATGAAAAAGAAAAAAAACTTTAAATGTTAAAGAAATAATGGTGCAGTAAAAAATAAAAGCTTTTTTAGAAGTTAGATGATGAATGTGGCAGTATGAAATAGGTAGCATTTTAGATGTCAGGTAATTTATAGTGCAAAAAGGAACTGATGTTTTAGAGGTTACGTTACAACAGGTTTGGTAGAAATACACATTTCAACAATAAATAACTAATGTTACAATACAAATTAGGTTATATTAGGAAGTTAACTAAAGGTGCAATATAAGTTATAATAACTACTATTATTGGCACAGTATAAAAATGCTATATTTTATATGTAATTTAAAAATATTGCAATATAATCTTTTTGCCATTGCTTATGCTTTTCATCTTATTAACATTTTATTTTATTTTTTATTTCTAACATTTCAGTTAATGTCTTTTTCTGTGAAACAGTGTTTTGTGATCCCGTTTAGTGTGGTCATATTTCAATGTTTGATATTACAATAATGATTGTGTATCCTGCACAGTTCTAGGGTGGGAGCTACCGTTGTGTAGCAGCAGGATGCTCGCATCAGGCCCCAAAGTTGTAGGTTCAAATCTGCATCAAGCTGGGTGTTTTTTCACAATTGACTTTGGCTTTGAGGTCAACCTGGCTTTAAGTGGGTACCAGGTTAATTCCTGGGAAGTAAAAGCAGTCAGAGTGATGTTGACCACATCAGCCCCTGGAGTACCGGTTGGTCTATAAAATGTAGATCTAACACTGAATGCCCAGTGGACTGGAAGATGTGGAAGAGGGTCATTTACTTGACTTATAAGGAGAAGTAATGGAATGAGGAACTTATTATGAACTTGCCCTCAAAGCAAGAGTTCCTCTTCTTCCTATTCATGCTGCAGCTGGTCGCATGACCTGTCCTATGTTGAATGGGTGTTATGAGATGGCTTCGTTCAGTTTTTTCTTGCCATATATAATGTTTGTAGATGGTTTGTGTTTTCGTGAGTCTCTTTAAGATGCCGCAGGTGCCTGTTTACAAGTAAGAAGTACTGCATGCGGAAGCGCTGAAGGCGCGACTGTTCTTGGGTATCGAAACTGCGATGTTTTTTTATTTCTGCCTTCCTTGTTGGTGGCTCCCCCTCCCCTTCCAGGGAAAAGAGAAGCCACAGACAAGGAACCCAGAAAAACAAAAACATCCCAGTTTGAATATTCGTGAACAGTTGGGCAAGTAGCACAACATGAAAATCATCAGGCAAGTGAGCGGTGACAACAGGAGTAACTGTTGAAAATGAGCAATATACATGACACCCCCGATCGCAGCATAAATGGGAGGGGAAGGAACTCTTGCTGTGCGGGCAGGTTTGTGTTAAGTACCAAAATGACTAGGAACAGTTAATAGTTACAATAGATGGCAGTAAGGGTAACTTTACAAACTGACCATTTATATGTGGCCGTTTAATTCTTTATTCATGAGGAAGTAGCTGTATTAATTCATCTGCCTAAGTTACTGCATGTTCAGACTATGGTCACTTGTTATTGTAGCTTGTTATTATAGTTATTATTGTTTATTCTGCTTGTTACTTTAAACTATTCTGTTTGAGTTATTATCTGCCCCTGACACTTATTATTTTAGTGACTTTTGGTCCATTATGGTGGATAGACTGGCTGACCACTGACACTTTGAAAACTTTCTTGTCTCTAGTGATGGTTTACTATTGCAATAACTGTTTCTTGGTTTACTGCTTTTATCAACAGTGAGCTCCAATTCTGGTGGGAGACTGTTAGTTTTGGCACATCTGATAGCTGCCTTTTGCATTTACTTGGTGTGTGCAGTCTACAAGAATTAGCTCAGACTGATATATTTTTTACTAGTTTTCAAAGGGAACAGTGAAGGACATTATGTTTGATTTCCATTGACTCAGGAATGGAACGGTTGTGGTAAAACACATCCGCAGTGAAGTTGGAGCTTCGACTAACTAATGATGACTTAACAACTCCAGTATGTGTTAACTTAGATTACAGTTAACAAGGACAGAAAAGAATCACCAATGTAAAAATATTATTTTTTTTGTTCAGTTATTTTTAATATGCCATACTGCATTTCTTCAACCCACAAAACATATCCAATGTTTAAAATCCTGGATTGTGATTAAGAAATTATTTGTATTTTTACCATTTTCCAGCATACATTTTTGCTGCAGGACTACTTTTACCTGTACAAATTTGTGATAATTATGGTTTTTACTAAACAATGTTTAATAATAAATTTTAGTTCACTTTCTGTGCTTACTAAGGTTGTGTGGAATGCAACCATTTTTTACTGCACTGTCTCAGTGTCCTCAGTTTGTGTGTGTGTGTGTGAGAGAGAGTGTGTGGGGAAAATGAGAAGTAGCTACATATGTGGGAGTACAAGAAGTAGCTACTGGTGTAGGAGTATAAGAAGTAGCTGCTGGTGTGGGAGTACAAGAAGCAGCTGCTGGTGTGGCAGTCTGAAAAGTAGCTACATGTGTGGGAGTATGAGAAGTAGCTACATGTGTGGGAGTACAAGAAGTAACTACATGTGTGGGAGTATGACAAGTAGCTACATATGTGGGAGTACGAGAAGTAGCTGCTGGTGCTGGAATACGAGAAGTAGCTTCATGTGTGGGAGTATGAGAAGTAGCTGCTGGTGTGGGAGTACGAGAAGTAGCTACTGGTGTGAGAGTACCAGAAGTAGCTACTGGTGTGGGAGTACGAGAAGTAGCTACATGTGTGGGAGTACAAGAAGTAGCTACATGTGTGGGAGTACAAGAAGTAGCTACATGTGTAGGAGTATGAGAAGTAGCTACATGTGTGGGAATATGAGAAGTAGCTACATCTGTGGGAGTACGAGAAGTAGCTACTGGGGCGTGAGTACGAGAAGTAGCTACATGTGTGAGAGTATGAGAAGTAGCTGCTGGTGTGGGGGTACAAGAAGTAGCTACATGCGTGGGAGTACGAGAAGTAGCTGCTGGTGTGAGAGTACAAGAAGTAGCTACATGTGTGGGAGTATGAGAAGTAGCTGCTGGTGTGGGAGTACAAGAAGTAGCTACATGTGTGGGAGTACGAGAAGTAGCTGCATGTGTGAGAGTATGAGAAGTAGCTGCTGGTGTGAGAGTACAAGAAGTAGCTACATGCGTGGGAGTACGAGAAGTAGCTGCTGGTGTGAGAGTACAAGAAGTAGCTACATGTGTGGGAGTATGAGAAGTAGCTGCTGGTGTGGGAGTACGAGAAGTAGCTGCTGGTGTGGGAGTACGAGAAGTAGCTACTGGTGTGGGAGTACGAGAAGTAGCTACTGGTGTGGGAGTACGAGAAGTAGCTACTGGTGTGGGAGTACAAAAAGTAGCTAGTGGTGTGGGATTACGAAAATTACCTGCTGGTGTGGGAGTAGCTACATATGGTATCCATATATGTTATTAAAAGAAGCGGTGATAGTACACAGCCCTGACGCACACCAGAGTTCACTATAAATAGTTCTTGACAATCCTGCCTTCGATCGTGGGCAGCATTTACTACGTGTGTACAGGCTTTTGAAATTTTTTTGAGATGATTGCTGATTTTTTTCCCATACATTCCTACAACATATTCCTGTCGACTCTATCGAAGGCTTTTTTTTTTTTTTTGCTCATTGAATGTCAACAAACATGTCTTATCCTGTTCTATTGCCTTCTCTGATAGTTGTATCAGTGTATAAATGGCATCTGTGCAACTTCCCTTTCGTGGAAAGCCCATCTGTGCTTCTGACAGTTGATACCTTATCATTGGCGTTAGACTTCTTTCAAAGTA